CCATACACCCCCACCCTCACTGAGTGTCCACTCACCATACACCCCCACCCTCACTGAGTGTCCACTCACCATACACCCCCACCCTCACTGAGTGTCCACTCACCATATACCCCCACCCTCACTGAGCTTCCACTCGCCATATACCCCCACCTCACTGAGCATCCACCCTGACCGAGTGTCCACTCACCATATACCCCCACCCTGACGAGGGTCCACTCACCATATACCCCCACCCTGACCGAGCATCCACTCACCATATACCCCACCCTCACTGAGTGTCCACTCGCCCTGCACCCCCACCCAAACTGAGTGTCCACTCGCCCTGCACCCCCACCCAAACTGAGTGTCCACTTGCCCTGCACCCCCACCCAAACTGAGTGTCCACTCGCCCTGCACCCCCACCCAAACTAAATGTCCACTTACCCTGAACTCACACACCAACTGAGTGTTCACTCACCTTGCACCTACACCCTAATAGTGTTTACTCGCCCTGCCACAATACCTGAAAGAGTCCTTATATGTTTTTAAAGGACCCAGTGGTTAGGTTTTGTATTTAAGTATTACCATAGAAACACATGTCTGACACTCAAACACAAAAATATAGAATCGCACACAATGAAAATAAAAGCTATCAATCACAACAGCTTTTCTTGAGTGTTGGCCCATGAGATTAAACAGAAAGGGTAGCCAAAAGAACACGTTGGAAATACTCTTTATGAAAAATGTAAAATATGCTAATAAAAACAAACTTAGCCAGATTTAGGATATCAACTTTATTATGAGAAAACGGGGAAACACTGTAAGCAAGAGAAGTATTAGTGCAATTTACTCATGGAGGATATGCATTTTATGTAACCTTTCACAGTATCACATGTTCTCAGGGTTATTCATTTAACTCAAAACTGAAGCAAACTTAAATCTCCATAGCAAAAGAAGTCTTACTCCAGCAGACGGGGGAATTTATTCAGAACAGCTATTTTAGCTAATATTTTGCCATTCGCTAGTTTTAACTCACTATATTTTTTTTAACGGGTTGTGAATGAAAAATTCAAAGCTAAAACAGCCTCAATGAAAAGATTCTTCAAGACGCACGTTTCCCCCTTGGCTATTTTGTAATTGTTCATCTCATTCTTGTATTCTGGTACTCTTCTCTTCGCCTCTTACTGTAACAGTACTCACATTAAGTCTATTTATAAAAAGCGCAATAATAAACACTGGCAGCCATGTTACAATTCAAAACGTTTCATCGCCCAGAGGCCTCTGTCACACTTAGTGCCTTGTGCTGTGTTCCTCTAATATCATACAATAAATACTGCCTTTCATTGACCAATACCATGTTGAAGCAGCTCAGTATCTATAGCACTGAAATTGAACAGTCGTGGTGTACAGAAAGTCATTAGCGCAGTCTGTTAATGCACATATTTTTACTTTGTATGGAATGCTTTTTACATTTACATTTTGTGTAATTATACATCACTACCCTCTCACTGTTTGGATATGGCGCCCAATACCTTCTGCTTTTGTTTATTACGACTACTTGTTTGTCAACCTATTGCATAGCTCTGTGGAATATAAAGGGGATGATAATCAGAACATGGCATGAATCACAGAGGCTGTGATAATGCAGAATCACAGTTGCCAATTAAGTACATGCACACACACTTCTAGGACATAGGTTCTGATTAGGTGGTTGCCTTTGTTAGGTCAAAAGTTGAATTTGGCAAGATGGAGGAGAGCACAGGCTTCCGGCCTTGTTGTCAGTCTTCCATCGAAGGTCTGAATTAAAAAGGAAAAAAAACCCATGTAAAAACGCATTCATAATTTAACTATTAATCTCCTTGTTATACTTGGACAGATTGTCCCACCGTGAAGCCTTGGAATGACACACTACCTGCCAGAACCAGGTATGGTAAACGAGGAATGGTAGACCAAGGACATAACTGTGACATGCCTTGGGATGTTTTGGACACCTGTAACTTGGAATAGTCACATTAGCGAGCATCGTGTCCCTGATTGTAGTGAGTCCATGGTACTCTGTGTTCCTTTCTTCAGGTTACCCAGACTAGGAAAGCCCAGAAAGCCAAGCATTGAGAAGTTCTCAGACGGAGACTCCTCCGTTTGGATCACTGCACGAACATCTCTAGACATTCGTTTGTTCCCTCCTGCTTCCTTCACATGATGCTGATCTTGCGTGTTCTGTGGGGAGATGGACATATGTGATCCAGACATACAGAAACAAAAATCATACAGGTTTGGATAGGGAGTGGAGGAACCAACCTTAGGCAGATTGTATTTGCTACGGAAATGTTCCCTCATGGCTGCCCTCTCTGCTTTTTGCTGGGTGTAGAAGGAGTTCCTTCTCCTCCTGTAGAGGAAACATACCATATACAAAGGTACTGATACAAAGTAAGCCAAAACAACATGCAAGTACCTTTGATGGGGAATGTAGACCAGGGTGGGCAAATGGTATATTCCCAGATGTTCTAGAACTGCATCATCCATGGTGCTGTGACATTCTGAAGACTAGCAAAGCATTATAGCAGTTGTAGTTCTAGAACATCTGAGGATCTACCTTTTCCTAGCCCCGTCTTTAGGGTTATCGAACACAAAAGACATGAACTAATTGGCACACAGGAGCATGCTTGTGATTATTATCATCAATCAGGGATACTTTTATATTCTTAATGCCTATGTCAGGCCAAAATATTTGTCTCCCTATGTAAGTGGTTCCCAAACCAGTCCTCAGGCCTGACCACCAGTCCAGGTTTTGCCAGTATCTCCATTTGAATAGGAAGGGACATACATAAATCCTGGATTGTTGGTGGTCCATGAGGACTGGTTTAGGAACCACTGCCGTATGCTATTTCATTGGGTTACCAGTGGAAGGCACATCTTTTTTATCAGCTCCTTGGAAACTGCCCACAATACGAAAGACCCCACTGACACTAGGTAGTAGGTACAGCTTAATTAAGTTATTATTATTACTGGTATTTATAAAGCGACAACCGATTCCGCAGCGCTGTACAATTAGTGGAGGACATACAATATACACAGAAAAATACAAAAGGTAAACAGGGCCCTCCCCTTAAGCTGATATCTAGCCATTGAAACGCTTTTATACAAAGTGTTTAGCTAGATTGTCTGTACAATCTAAAGGATACAGTGGGGATTTGAGACAACAAGTAGCAGGGGAAATTTGGAAGTGATCGCTAAATGAAGTTTACAGAGAGTAATCCAATCTCAGCAACCTTGTCAGTCTACTGGCAAACGTCATCAGCTATAGCTGCAGCTCAAGTTAAACTGTAAACTTAGATTTTTGTTTTTTATAGAGCAGAATGTCAGGTATGAGATCTACGCCTTACTACAAAAACAGACTGCAAGCTCCCTCCCTCGCTCCCTACCCTATGTTTATGTTATTGTTGTTGGTGTTTTTCTGTGGTGTTGTTTGTTTCTGTTCTCTTTTTGTCACAGCTAAGGCAGAGTTCCTGGCCAGCACAAGTAATTCACGAGACAAGGCTTTGGGGAGTCGCAGCCTGCTAGGGCTGATGGCAGAAAGCAGGCTGTACGAACTCTGGAAAGACATCATTATCACTACCCAACAGCTGACAGGTAGTGATAATGCTGGCTCTGTTTAAAAGTTGAATCAATAAAGCTGTGGCCATTGCCCTTATCCAATACTCAGGCGTCATGTCATTATTGGGGGTAACGGGTTAGGTTATCTGGTCAGCAGTCATGTAACCATTATTATATGGTAGTATAAGAATGGGTTATCATTTATGTGAATAAAAAAAAAATGGCTACCTCACCAGGGATATGCAATAAAAATGGCAGCACAATAACCATGTGTGTATAATATCGGTAAATGCTGATACTGACAGCTCCAATACCAAATAAATATTTAGGAGTAAGCTTGGAAAATGCTCCCAACTCCTTATAAAATAGTTTAGTCCCATATGTGGCCCTGTAATTTCACAAATAAAAAAAAAGTAAACATAAGGAAAAATCTAGTACACGTGGATCCTGAGAGAACTCAATTATTTGGGACGTTAGTGCTATAGGATAAATATTGCTTACAGAAGTCACAGCAAGTGTTGAAAAACATTACCCGATAACCAACTGCAATATTGGCGAAACCTGGTTTAAAAAAAAAAAAAAAGACATTTTGGATTGAATCACCACTATTAAACTTAGAAAACGTTTAGCTTTTAAAATGTGGACTGCAGCTCGTCTTGTATTTGATCTGTAACTGTGGTGTTGTGGAGAGAGGCACTGAGGCTAGTGGTTTTGTGGAGAGAGGCACTGAGGCTAGTGGTGTTGTGGAGAGAGGCACTAAGACTAGTGGTGTTGTGGAGAGAGGCACTGAGGCTAGTGGTGTTGTGGAGAGAGGCACTGAGGCTAGTGGTTTTGTGGAGACCGGCTTGGAGACTATGGTGAGGCCTAATAGAAAGCAGTTGTTGTTGGGGGATTCTGTCATAAGAGGTGTGGAGATGGACAATGGTGGTCTTGTGAGGTGTCTTCCCGGAGCTACTGCTCACAGAGACAGGAGACGTATCTGTAATATTGTTAAGCAAGCAAAGCAGGAAGGGGAATTGGATATACTTGTCCATCTAGGGACAAATGACTTGGCTTGCAATGAGGTTTCAAAGGTTAAGGAAGTTGTTAGTGTTTTTTCCAATGATATACGGCAGGTTTCTTCCACACTGTCATTTTCTGAAGTTCTGCCTGTGGATAACACTCAGAACGACAGGCGGATGCGTATTAAGTACTTTAATTTGTGGCTTGGTGAATGGTGTCGGGAGCAAGGATTTGGCTTTATTTCTCATGGTAGCTCTGTTTGGAATGGAGATAAGCTGTACAAAAAAGATGGTTTGCATCTTTCTCAAAAGGGAACAAATGTTCTCAGTGAGCAGTTCAGAGGTTTTGCTTGGATGTATTTAAACTAGGGGGGGCAAAAGGGTGATAAAACATCAATCCAATTGTCCCTTAAAACAAGGACAGAAGGTGCCTGTAGCAAGTGTGTTAAAAAAATGATAAGCTTAGAGTCATGTCTACAAATGCTCGCAGTTTAGGGAAAAAGATCCATGAACTTGTGGCAATAATGGCAACTGATAGTCGCTGTTACTGAGACATGGTATAATGAGAAAAATGACTGGGTCATAGCAATACCAGAGTACTCTTTATATAGAAAAGATAGAGAAGGCAAGGAAGGGGGAGGGGTGGCCCTGTATGTGAAGGATAGCATAAAATCTAGCCTAATAAAAGTTAGTGAGGCAAACAGAGTCCGTTTGGGTTACGTTAGAATTTGGTAATCACACAGTAACTCGTGTAGGTGTGATTTATAGGCCCCCAGGACAAATTGAAGAGTTAGATAATCTACTAGTTGAGGAAATAGCTAAAATGACAATGAAGGGGAAGTTATCATCATGGGTGACTTTAATCTTCCTGATGTAAATTGGAAAACAAAATTAGCTACTTGTGCCAGGAGCACACATATTCTAAACTCCCTACTGGGATTGTCTCTAAAACAAGTTGTTGAGGAGCCAACTCATAAAGAGGCCATACTATATTTAGTATTTACAAATGGAGATTTGGTATCAGATATTACTGTCGGTGAAAGTTTAGGATCCAGTGATCATCAGTCAGTGTGGTTTAATATAAGAACAGTGACTGAGTCACACCACACAAACACAAAAGTTTTAGAGTTTAGAAAACCAGACTTTTCTAAAATTAGAATATGTGTAGAGGAGTCATTATCAGACTGGAGCAATTTAAATGGAGTCCAAGAGAAATGGGATTATTTAAAAGTTGCACTATTGAAGGCAACAGAAAATTGCATTAGGCTTGTCAGAAAAGCAAAAAATTCAAGAAACCACTGTGGTACTCCGCAGATGTGGCCAAAATAGTTAAAAACAAAAAGTTAGCATTTAGGAATTATAAAAAAAACCCAGAGTGAGGAAGACAAAATGATATATAAGATTAGGCAGAAAGACTAAGCAAGTTATAAGAGCTTTGAAATCACACACAGAAGAGAAAATAGCACAATCAGTAAAAAAGGGGGACAAAACATTTTTTAGATACATAAATGAGAAAAGAAAAGTAAAACAAGGATTAGTTGTTCTGTATTTAAAGATGAAAATGAAGGAAAGGGACCTCAGTTGAGAAAAAGGATAAATGAGTCATTTATTACACGTGAGTTTACAGAGGAAGAGGTTCTATTTCAACTGTCAAAAGTAAAGACAAATAAGTCAATGGGACCTGATGGAATACACCCAAAGCTATTAAAAGAGCTTAGTGGTGTACTAGCAAAACCATTAACAGATTTATTTAACCAATCATTGTTAACAGGAGTAGTCCCAGAAGATTGGAAGTTAGCGAATGTTGTGCCCATTTACAAGAAAGGTAATAGGGAGGAGTCGGGCAACTATAGGCCAGTAAGCCTTACTTCAGTAGTGGGGAAAGTGATGGAAACCATGTTAAAGGATAGGATTGATGAACATCTAAAAACACATGGATTTCAAGATCAGAGACAACATGGGTTTACTTCAGGGAGATCATGCCAAACTAATCTTATTGATTTTTTTGATTGGGTAACTAAAATAATAGATCAGGGTGGTGCAGTAGATTTCAGTAAGGCTTTTGACACTGTTGCACATAGGAGGCTTATCAATAAACTGCAATCTTTAAGTTTGCATTCAAATATTGTTGAATGGGTAAGGCAGTGGCTGAGTGACAGGCAACAGAGGGTTGTAGTTAATGGAATATATTCGAAGCTTGGGCTTGTCACCAGTGGGGTACCTCAGGGATCTGTACTTGGACCCATTCTCTTTAATATTTTTATTAGTGATATTGCAGAAGGTCTTGATGGTAAGGTATGTCTTTTTGCTGATGATACTAAGATACGTAATATACATATTTTTTAGTATACTACTTATTCTTCTTACTTCCTGTGCCTGTTTGTATTAATTGTTTTAGTTCATATATAGATAAGGAGGTGCCTGTGTTGACAGTTTAGAGCTATGCTATGGGTTGTACTGTTTATGATAGAATCTCTGATTGACACAGTGAAACACGTGCGCGCTGGCCTCCCTGTGAAATTTCCTGTGAAATTTCCATTTCCTGTGAAAAAGTATTGAATTGGATGAAATCATCACTTTTAATGTCAGCCAAGGAGGAAAAGCTACTCCTTAGAGACCAGCACTACAAAGGAGAAAGGGTATTTAAAAAGACTTATTTTACTCTCTGCTGGTGCGTGCTGGTCACCTAAAGGGCCAACAGGGAACTATAGCATTAGGAACACACTTTTGTATTCCTAACGCTATAGTGTTCCTTTTAATTTTGCAGGGGGAAAAAAAAAATGTGAAAACAGTAGGCAAATGTTTTATTTACAAAATCGGGACAAATGGGTGACTGTATTTTCACATACTTTTCTTTAACTGCCCTGGTTGACTACAAATTATAAAAATCTACAAAACTGCGTGCATGCATCCCCCCCTAGCACGCAAAATGGTATTAAAAAAAAAAAGAAGAAAGCGATAAATGTTCCTTTAAGAAGGAAAAAAAAGTGTATAATGCATGTTTGTGCACTAAATGAGTAAGAGTGAAATTAACAATATATGACAGAGCAAAACCGTAAAAATTGCCCCTATTCAAGAGACTCTAGAGCCATTGTCACAACGGCGTTAAAGCACCATTTAGCCCTATAAATATGAGCTGGTTAATTTGGTCCATTACACCGTATAGACACCTCTCAACACGTGACACCTTACAATGCAGCAGCAGGTGTTTTAGCCTAAATGGTATAACCCCTGATCCCTTCAGGCACAATTTAGAGCTTTGTCTAATATTGAAAGGAGTAATATTTTGTATACATACAAAGAGTCTGGCTATGGCTGGCACAAAAAACATGGCAAAGGGGATTTTCAAGTTAGAAGTTTATGTGACACCTAAAGAACTACAGTATAAAGGGTTTAGTTTCTCAGATCTGCTTTAGATGTTAGGGGTTTTTCCCAGTCTGACAGTATCATTGACAAAATACCATATTACAGTAAGCAAATAACAGGTTTGTGCATGCATTTCCTTTAATTATTTGAAGGAACACTAGAGTGTCAAAAATACAAACATGTATTCCTGACAGTCTAGTGCTGGTGTGGCTGCTTAGGTCCTGGGTCCCCCTCAGATTGTTCTGAAAAGGTGAGTTTACTTGCCTTTTCTCCCATGCCAAATCGGTCTAACTGGGATGTCCCAACCTCCATGACTGATTCCATCAATCTTGATAATCTCAGCCAATCCAATGTTTTCCCATAGAAAAGGCTATCGCGCATGCACAGCAAACACCACGCTGCACCAATCAGCATCTCCTCCAAGCATAGAGTGGAGACGCTGAACACTGGTGCAGCACTGACACAGGAAGCACCTCTAGTGGCCGTCTGAGTGATTGCCACTAGAGATGTAACTCAGCAACAATATAAACCAGGCTTGTCCAACCTGTGGCCCCCAGATGTTGCCAAACTACAACTCCCATGATTCTTTCAATGAAACAGCCAGGGAATCATGGGAGTTGTAGTTCAGCAAAATCTGGGGGGCCGCAGGTTGGACAGCCCTGATATAAACACTGAATTTTCTCTAAAAAGGCAGTGTTTACATTGAAAAGTCTGCGGGGACCGGCTATAGGCACCAGAATCATTAAGCTGTAGTGGATCTGGTGACTATAGTGTCCTTTTAAAGGGACATTATAGGCACCCAGACCACTTCAGATCCTTGAAGTGGTCTGAGTACAGTGTCCCAGCACCCTTAAAGGGACACTGTAGGCACCTAGACCACTTCAGCTCATTGAAGTGGTATGGGTGCAATGTGCCATGTCCCTTAACCCTGCCATAGTAATTATTGCAGTTAGAAACTGCAATAATTACTAGCCAAGGTTAACTTCACCTCTAGTGGCCGTCTACCAGACAGCCACTAAAGAGCTTCCTGGTCTGAAACGGACCTTTCGTCCGTTATCGGACGCTGGACGTCCTCACACTCTGCATGAGGACCTCAAGCGTCAGATTTCTCCTTATTTTTTTAACCCCTTCAGCGCTGTGAGAAGGGGCACTGCAGGATTCTAAAGTGCCAGCAAAACGGCTTTGTTTTCCTGGCACTATAGAATCCTTTTAACCGTGCAATGGTCATTATAGCCCTTTTTTTTTTTTCTTTTTTTTTTTTAAATAAACTGCAATAATTACCTTTATGTATTAACTCCACCTCTACGAATTCCGGACGGTTCGGTAACCTTTGGCCGCCTAACTGATTCTGGATGTCCTCATGCTATACACGAGGACTTCCAGAGTCACCGGATTAATTCATGTTTGGGGCTAATGTAAGGTCACTTCTATTTATAAGTATTGGTGGTAGCTTAATCTGTTAGGATATCGACATACAGGGTTATTCACTAAATTTGAATTCTAATAAATGTAAATCGAAACTAAGACTTAATAAAAAATAAGAATTGGATATTTACTTAATTTGTTCTTAAAGGGTAGCTCCTACTAACACGACAATGTTTGCTTTGATAAGTAGTTATGGTGGTAGGAGCCTGTATTTGCAAAGTGTTTGCACTTTTGTGCCAGGGTCCAATTGTACCCCCAGCACACATGATTTAGACAGCCCAGAACTATGGTCTGGACTGCCTGTTAGTTCTGTGCAAAATGTACGTCCATCACCGCGTACAGAGTGCTGGCAACAGACATGGTCAGCTTCTCCCTTGGAACAGCTCACACATAACAATATAGCTTTAAATTCTATAAGGCTACTTAAAATCACCTATATAGGCATGGAAAGAAGCGCTGGGTGCTTGGCCCAGTGCTGGATTCCAGGTAAACTTCAGCTTAATTTAATCCTTTGTAATGGGGATGGCGACACCTAATTAGAAATATTAAATCGACTTATTTTATTTTTTAAAATCGAATTGTAGCTGGTCAGGTGAAAAATTTCCAAAACTGCAATTTGAAGTTTAGTGAGTAATCCTGACACACTAAGGCTTATTTATCAGGGGAAGGAGGGTAAGAGAAAAAGTTCAACAATTCAAAGTGACTAAAGTTAAACAGAAAAAAAAAGTCAGCTGTTTCAACCCTAATATTTGAAGTTTACTTTAGTGATTAACCCTGAAATATTGCGGTAATGTAAAAACGTGGTATTTCATAGTCGCTGGGGATTACAAACAGGCCACTTATGTACTTATTTAACAATTTAGTTCCCACTGAAGTCACAATTATCTCTCTAATGCAGGGCTGTCCAAAGGTAAATCCCCAGCTTTAACAGAATTACAACGCTCACATGGTGAGTGTAGACCCGCAATAGCTGGGTGATGCATTTGGAGACCCCTGCTCTAAGGTCTAATCATGACAAGCTGTTAGAATATCTGTAATAAACACAGTTGCTTTGTGTCTTACGTTTCAGCGTGGAAAGTCCTGTGGTATTGCTCTTCAGAGCTCCATCTTCTTTTCATGTCAACTCCAAATGCCTTCTCCTTCGTACACTTGTGTTCGGGCTGGAACCCAGCTGAGGTGCAGCATGAGATGTTCTTTACTGGACCCCCAAATAGAGACTTTGTTGCAGTTGCCATAGATCCTGTGTCACCAATGGAGGCTATGGCTCATGGAAAGTTCAATTGAACAGGGTGAAATGTTACGAGTTTTCAGTATCTTTTCAGGAGATTATAAGAGAGTTCATTCTTTAAATAACAGTTATCCAGACTGGAAGTTGCAAAAAACCTCTTGTACGTTTAGGCATTTACGAATTACAGCTTTAAAGAAGGGAATCAACAGGACCTCGAGCAGGAAGCCAAATTGCAGTAAACCAAAATTTGCTGCTGCCTATCCAAAAGGAAAATAATTTACCTAGTAGCTCAACATCACAAAAATTTGGTGAAACAGTGTGTTCTGCTAATCAAAGTACACAAAGTGCAGGGATAGGGTGTAAGCAATGCTGGTCAGTGTTTAGTGAAAAGCCCTCAAGTCCCAGCCACACATATCAGGTCAGCAAACATGTGATTCTGCAGGACAAGTATCCGGACACACTTTATGTAGACCGGACACGTGGTAATGTCTCATCTTCATCAGGATGGGAGCAAGCGGCCAAACCCAGATTATCAAGGATTACACGTAATCTGACACACAGCCTCTGGTGTGAGTAGCGACACCCACTGAAAGCCAACCTCATTATAGCTCTGTAACTTCATAGGTAATCAGCACTCACCAGCATACCCCCACTAACCAATACTAATCTTACACCTCAAAAGGCATTGTAGCTCAGGAGATACCAATCTTGCCATTAGAACCTCACTCAACACAAGGCGGCCCTCACTGGCAAAAAAAAATAAAAAATTAAGAAAGTGTGTACAAATACTGCTATTGACCAGTCTAGCTGCCATTACAAGCCATGGATAGAAAGTGCCCCAATAGGTCAGTTCCTACGTTTACAAAGGAACTGTACTGGCATAGATTTTAACGAACAAGCTAATTTTATTAAACAGAAATTCATTGAGAAAAACTACTCACCAACCAACCTTGACAACACAATTGAGATCATTACAAATCAAAAAAGAGAGGCCCTTTTAATGTATAAGGGTAAACAGAAGTCAGGTTCCACAACCCTTCCTATTATTTTCAATTTTAATAACAAATATGGTCACATAAAAAGAATTAATAAACATTGGTACTTATTAAAACAAGATGACAATCTTAAAGAGGTTATACCCACGCGACCTAAGATTGTTTTTAGAGGAGCCCCAAACCTCAAATCTATTTTAACGAAAAATTATACTAGAGACAATACAGTAGGCAAGAAACTAACATGCACATTCTTAGCCGGGGCAAAGGGATTCCACAAGTGTAAACGCTGCACTGTTTGTAAAAACACCTCTGTACTATCCAAAACTACCAATTTTACTTCAAAAAGAACTAATAAAGCATACATTATAAATGATTTGATTAGCTGTAATACAAAAAATGTGATTTATGTACTTGAGTGTCCCAGTGGTCTACAATATGTTGGAATGACCACAAAGAGCCTAAAAATTAGATTAGGCGAGCACTGCAGGAATATCACTGAATATCACTACAGGGTATCCAAACATTTAATCATTCACAATAAGAATCACAAATTTTTGAAGATTTAATCGGAATAAAAAAAAAAAAAAAAATTTAAAAAAAGTACCAGCCCGTGGAGAGAGGGCAACATAAAAAAATATCCTTGGGAAATCAGAGATGGGAGTGGGTGTTTAATTTACAAACCCTGACACCCCCTGGACTTAACACAGATTTTGACCTTCTTCATTTCTTATAACTTTAAATTATTAGATATAAAATATATGATATACTGAGGATGAGAATAAAAGATCATAAAAAAAATAGACTTATTAAAGTATGATACTCCTTTGGGCTATTATCAGATCATCTTCTGTTGGCTAGGATTATTTGTCATCATTGCTATGTGAATGTCTGACATACTTATCTTAGCACCTCCCTGGGATTTTTGCGCTGTAATCCTAGGGATATTCCGATCACAGTTGTTTTTTTCTACAGCATTGTGATTTAGGGCACCCTACTATAACAACATTCGCTCAGGTTATTTAGGTGTGTGTGTTATATTTGTCTGATGCATTATTATGAAATCCTAGCCACTACTCATTTAATCTGCATTAAGGGCTCTTATTGTTTTATGCAGATTTATTCTATTTTTTTTATGCTTACTTTTATGTATTTGGTTCTATTACATTGTGTGCATCATTTTATCCCTTTTACCTTATCTAGTTTATTTAGTTATCCCCCTCTGTATATATGGCCGCCACATTTTTCCCCCATCTTCCTCCACCAAGATGGCCACCGTGGCTATTATTTTTCATCTTTAATTATTTAGCCAATCTGGGAACTACCCCTACTTCTTATCCTGTCATCCTCCATCTGATAGCTCTATTTTGATATCGGGCAGTATGATAATTATGCCGACATTACATAGCTCCCAGAAGGCTTAGCCTTTAGAAGCCACTATTATACTTTGTTTATACAATATAATCATATACCTTCACTTCCCATCCATCAATGATGTATCGTATATGTATGATTTTTGGATTTGCACCTTACAAAAAGTGATTGTATTTTATTAGAGAACAGCCCATGACAATTTAAAATTACCATATCCCTATTTAAATCCCCATGTACCCAAGATGCATGTTTTTTTTACTCCATTTGAAAAAGCCACAACAGCAAAATGCGTCATTGGATGTTTTATTTTGTATTTTAATAAAGGAATTATTTTGGACAGATATACCTAGGTTTGTGCCAAATTCCTTTAATTATTCAAAAGAAAGAAAAATATATATTTTTTTGTTACCTGGCTTTTTAACCACCACTCTAAATAAATCCGAGGTGGAAATCATACCACCAGAGCAGTCATCCTGCTCTACGTTGTGGGAGTATATTTTATATATCTTTTTACACTTGGTTTTTAATCTTACAGAGAGTACTACTTTTGTTGTCGTTTGAGCTCCATCTAACCCAAAGACTGAGGATACCTACAGTATATTCCAAAGTGGGGATTGTACAACTACAAGCGCTAGATGCTAGAGCTGGCTATAGCTCTGCCAAATGTGAGTGCATGATTATTATTCCACCATAACCACTTTATACGATGCATATTATACTATTAGGTCCTTTCGCTCCTCTACGTTTCATATGACCGAATATCGGGGAGACTGATTAATGATACAATTTCCAAGCTTTAATAATTCACATCTCCTGTGGAATATACCATAAAGACACCATCTGGTGTGAACCTAATGATTTCCTTTTATACCTCTGGACTTCCCGTCATTGACTATATTCCATTACTCTCTTTGGCAAGCCCCTCTTTATCTTTGTACACGAGAACAAAGCCTCGCTCACTGACACTAGCTTCATTTACTCACTGGCAATAGCCCCAGTCAGAATAAGTGAGGGGAGACTCCTATGGATATGCCTGCAAATTATAATGGACATCTGACAGTGAGAAGAAACCATATTGGACAAAGACTGTCTTAATTAAGTCCCTCAGAAATATGTACTGTCTGTACCCTCCTCCCCAGTAACCTGACACTTGGGAAAATATTCACAAGCCATAACTCACCCCAGTCCCAACAGAGAAGGTACTGCTCCGAGCAAGCTGTGTGATGCACAGTGTCATCAAGCCAGGCAGATAAAGGTTCAGAACAATCTCTTAAGTTGGGATCAGAGGCTCTCTCAATCCACATCCTATACAAAAATAGCTGGTATGACAACACAGGCTGCTAAGGGCCATATCTGCCCAATGTAATACAGAAGGACTATACTACTTACACTCTGCCAACATTTAGTTTCTAAATAATGGCAAGTTGTATCATTTTATCATGGATGATATCACAGCGTTGAACTGAGTAAGGAGGGGTGGACGTAGTATTACTTTTTACTCTTCATTCCATGATACAAACTTTTCATTCAGTGTTATATGAAACATACCAATTTCAGAATATTGAATGAAAAGTTGATATCAAGTCATCAATATTGTTTTTGCTTTTATACAATTTTACTTTTGTGGTATAACTCTTTATGAGAAGTTCCTCTTGCATATTTGTTGGTTTAGAGATTCAACACATCTGAGCAGACAAAGAAGCAAGTAATAAAAGCAATACTATACCCTATACAGCCCCTAGGTACACCTCCCTACATGTGACTTGCAGTCTTTTTAAACACCTCCTGAAAACAAACCTCTATATTCTAGTTTCCTTTATTGTACAGTCTGTTTAATACAGGATTTTATTATCTCCTGCTGCTAATAGCCTGCCAGACCTTGCATGAGCCTCATGTGATTAACATTCAATTTACAGAGCAGTAGATAAAAACTAAACCAAGTTAACACCTGTTTAAAAATGAAACCATTTTTTCCATACAGGCTGTGTGAGTCACCGCCAGTGGAAGGTGTGGCTAGGGCTGCATGGACCAAGAAAAAGTGATGTAACTCCTAAAAGGAAGAGAAGTGAGCAGTGAGACAGCAGGGGTATGATCTATATACCCAAACTGCTTCAAGCTAAAGTTGTGATGCCCAAATACTCAATCACGGTACCCAACATGACCGCATAGAGACGGCTGCCCACCAAAACGTCCCTATCCAAGAAGATATTAGTAAGAAAAGCAACCAAAGTGGCTAACTAATTTTGAAGGAGTCAACAGCAGTGATGAAATAAACTATCCATGGGACCCCAACAAACTCAACATTCCACAAAAGGTAGGAGAAAAGGTCCTTTTGACAAATCACCAGAACACTCAACGAAGCTGCTTGAAAAAGGTCTATGTGACTATTATATGGGTGTTATACAAAGTTGTGACAAACTGTCCATGGGACTATCATCGGCCAGACACCATACAAACCTTAGACCATAGAAGTCTAGCCGTTCATAAGTCTGTGAAAGACTCTGAGATTCACCTTCCAGGCAGGATCAAGTCTCTAAACACACACAGGGTTATTCACTTAACTCTGAACTGTAGCAAATTCACATCCAAACGACAAATAGGTTTTAGCTTTAAAAACGGTATAGCTGGAAGCAGATGGATTAAAACCTACTGTGTAGAACTTTGATTTAAGCTGATAAATTAGATGCAGCAGCTGGGTTAGTAAGTGGGCTGGCCTTTGTTGCTGCTGTATTTTTCCCCATGTAATCTTGATTGTTTTTATGAAATATGCATGGCTATCCCTAAACCACCTTGGCTAGGGAGAGGTCAGTGATTTCCTGAATGAAGACATCAAAGTCCGGAAAAGGAAATTCCAGGGAATTGTTGTAAATGAGAAAAACCCAGATGTGTTTGCTTTTGTTTTGTTTTTTGTTCTGTTAAAGTACCGTTCAGAGAACGATAACCAACTACAGCCTGCTGTAGTTGACTGTCCCACTGTAAACTCTCAAGCCATTTTAGTAAAGTTTGCTAACTTGGCGTCCAGGCCCCTCCTGCAGTCTCTAGAATAAAGCATGGCCACACTCATTGGCTGAGCATTCAGATGACTCACTCAGCCAATCAACATGATTGAGCTTGGCCCTGCTTAGTTTGGTAGAGCCGTGGATTGTTCTTTGGCATAGTAGGAACTGGGAAAGGTGTCAAACGACCTCACCTAGGCACTCCAGGCATTATAACCATTACAATGTGCTTGGGGTCTGGCTTCACATTTTTAACCATTTATTGAACCACTCTAATCACTGTGTGGGTTATTGGCTAAACTCCAAAATGTATAATCAGAATAGCAAAATTTAGATGTGACTACAGTGGAGTGGAGATTTGTGTGTATATGTGTGTGTGCTTTAACAATATTTTGGATTAAAATAAAATATATACACACATATAAACATTAGATGTTTGCTCCTCAGCTGTGGTGAGCCAATAACAGAAAGTCTAAGCATATATCTTTTTGACTGCACTAGGTCAGTGAATTCCATAACATGTGGGTTAGCTGTGGAAAGATGTCTGGAAAAAACAGTTACTCTTGAGAATGCAACACTAAGTTTCCCTGCAACAGCAGTATGTCACCATAGTTAAACCACTCTTAATATGTATTGTGCACAGAATCTCATACAAACATAATGGATTTATTTCTCACAAACACTGTACAAAATATTATAAAAACATAGGAAGGTGCATGGAAGCAATCCTCCTGCCCAACACTGACATTATAAATTACAGGCCAGTCCCCCTCCACACCAGGGAACGCGCGGGGAAACCAGGTGGTTTTATTTACATGGCAGCTTCTGCCAGACACGCTTGCGCCTTTACAGAATATATATATATATATATATAATTAATTCACATATTAACAGCTTTACCAGATAGCAAAATGTTCATTCAGTTTAAAGAAAGAGAGAAAGCACCATGTTTCTGAATGTAAGTCCATGTTTGAAGCATAAAGTCACCCATAAAATGTGCATTGAATACCCTCCCCTCAGGGTGACTGTGCCCTCATCGGCTGATGTCACGGCCAGTGTCCCAGTGCTTTGGAGCAGATTCACCCTTTAGAATGTCAAAAAACGGGTGTTTAAGAGACTCTGCCAATGTAATTCTCTTGGAGGGTTCATATTCCAGCATGCCCTCGATCAGATCAAACAGTTGGTGGTGTTCCTCTGCTTCAGACATCATGTATCTCTGCAAAAGGGAGAAGGGTGCTAAGTTGGACAGAACATAACAGTCAACAGACACTGGCAAAGAAAGTGCTAACTTACCCTCAGTGGTTTGCAGTTCTCCCTCACGTATCGGCCTGCTGACGTATTTTCATCCCAGTCCAGACGGCCATGGTAAAAATATTTCTGTTTTCTGTAAGTTTAGAACATATGTCTCACTAGACTACCACCATAATACATCCGATGAACAGTTAAAAATGAAACAAAAATAGCCCTAGCATTGCAGCATCTAAAGTAGACACTAACGTCATGGAGCCTCTTGTACCAGATGAAAGGATTCAATCAACAATCTCTTTAACCAAGCACCGCTAATCGGACATATCGAATAGATAGGATATTCCAGCACTTGCTGCACATGGAAAAGTTTTACACCAGAAGGGACTCACCTAGTCTTTCGAGTCATTCTTGAGGGGATGGGACCCAGAATCCTCTCCATCATAGCTAAATGTTCTCTGTTATCATGTGTCTGCAAACAAAGGAATATCAATTTCAATCATGCTCACAAGTGACAGACAGCCTTTTCAAAAGTAAAAAAAAAAAAGAGGGTGTCATCCACTGTACTGAAGTCAGGAAAATGTAAAACATTTCAAGTTGTGCTAGAAAGGTTTACAGTTCTGTTTAGTTTTAACAACCATTCTTACCTGAAAAAGCGTGAATCCCACATAATACTCGAAGATAATGCAACCGATGCTCCAGACATCACAAGGCTGATTCCACCCAAGCTCTAATAGATAGAAATATATTGGAGGACATTAAGGGATATAGTCACATGACAGTCTAGATTTTTTAACTTTCATGCATAGAAGCTGGGCTCTTACCGAGGATGACCTCTGGTGCTCTGTAGTGTCGTGTCGATACAATAGTGCTATGATGCTCATGGTCAAAGGTGGCACTTCCAAAATCCACTACTCTAACTTCAGTCTTTTTCACACACCTTTCATCTCTCTTCTTAGTGTTATGGAGGTCACAGAGAGACCAAGAAAATACAGGCATCAGAAAATGGTAGCAAGCTATAATCTACCCAGTTTGTTTGGCCCGTGTGGTTAGAATTACCCATTGCAGCAGGGCGGTGAGTCATGTTAAAATTTACATATGGTGTTAAACACATTGACACTATAGTTTATTCACACTTTGTCAGGTCCTATAAGGAATATGCAAATTCAGATGTGAACTTTAATTTATCCTAGGCAATGCCTTAATTATTAAAACAAAGGTAGGAAAAAACCTCAAGCATCATTCAATTTTTTTGTAAGAGAAGCAGGAGTTACAGTGGGTAATAGGAAAAATATAAAATAAAATCAGTAGAACACCACATTTAATGGTTACAAATCTAGTTATGTTGGCTACTTTAACCATGAAGTGTGAACTCAGGTAATTATATTAAAAAAATACATTTTAAAAAAGGGATCATCAACATTTTAAGTGTAGATTTAACAAACTATCTTGTCTTGGATAAAAGTACGAGATTCAGCCTTCTCTGCAGGCTATTCTCAATAGAGAAGGGAAGAGAAGACTTAGAAATGCCATTATAACCCGAGCAATAAAAACGATAAACACACCTTCTCCACATTATAGGTGAGTTCGAAGTCAGAATTCACAAACAAAATATTCTCTGGTTTCAGATCTGTATGAGTAAGTTTATTGTCATGAAGAACTGAAGAGAAAAGAAAAAAAATATATATATATATTTTTAAATAAATAAAAACCACACACACAAAACACCATAAACAAATTTAAAAAACAAAAATTGCCAGCTCCAAGTTTCCCAGCCTCCCAAAACCAAGTCACAAGCTGCATTCTCGGCTCCACCCACAAAAAGAGTTGGGCCTAAAGCCAACACATACCCATCCAGTACTCTAGTTTTATGCAACATGCTTGCTATGAGAACATAGCAGCAGTGTCAACTCTACGAAACACAGTATTGCAGTAAGTTCTCAAATTCTATCAACAGGATGTACTGCTGGATACACTCCAAACCTACCCAAAAATGTCCTAAGAATATTTATGCCATATTGGACAACATGTATCCTATTTCAAGTGCCAAAATAGCACTGACAAGGTTTAGCCGTTTTGTTAGAACTGAATACATGATTTCAAGCCATCGTGGATAAGTCAGTTTTGGGCACTGTTTGCAAGAAACTTCAAATCCTTTTGCCAGCACAATAAAATACATAAAAAGTTAACCTAGAAAAGTGTGTTTAGATTGGAAGCAGAAAGTACAAGTTTTAATTAGCAACTGTAGAGTTTAACTAAGGTAAAAATAAATGCAATTAACTACAATTCTTTAATGGTTAACGCAACACAAAAATATTTCTAGTAACTGGTAATTGCTGCTGTGTCTAAGATTACTTGTACAAATGGAAATATTTCTCATTAATCTAGTGTTGAACTAAGCTAGAGAACACAAGGCATGTCAGAGGAGCGTTTAATGTATTTGTCATTTTAGATAAAAATACACACATCACATAGTGCTACATAAACAAGCACAATGGTAATTAGTTTTAAAAAGGTATAACTTGCATTTAATGCTTCCTGAGAACCCATCTGTTTAGGGAGCAAACGCATCTAAGGAATACACCACCCTTCATTATACAAAACACTGCATGGAGACTTACATTTCACGGCGTGGCAAACCTGGAGCGCCATGTGTCGCACTTGGTTGATGGGATAGGGATAGTAGCTGTTTTCTTTCAAGAAGTCAAACGTGCTGAGACCGAGAAGCTCAAAGGAAATGCACATGTGACCATGAAAATCAAACCAGTCAAACATCTGTACGCATAGGCTAAAAAAAAAAAAATAATAATAATAATTACATATATATATATACATACATATACACACACACACACACACCCCCTCCCCCCCCCAGTTAAAAAGGGACAGCGGTTACACAGCAGCTGCAAACAGCAGAATGTTAAAAGGACAAGCAATGGGTTATATGTCAACTGTAAAATGAAACTAGAAACAGGGAGGAAGGACCACGAGCTTGCTGTAGCAGGTCTTATTACAGGGCTTACACAGACACTAAGCAGGAAATATGAATGGGGATCCAAGTTTAGATTTAGCCTGTAGACTACGAGTAATCAATTACCAAAACTCTATGAGGTGATACTAGGGAAGATATATGCACAAGCTAAGCTCTATAAAAACGCCTCTCTTTCTCACTTTAACATCTCTCTCACATATCCTTACTGTTTATTCTCTGGGTCCTTTTCATTGATTTTCTCCAGAACGTTGATCTCCAGACGTGCTGCCTCTTTATATTTCTCCACGTTTTTAATGATTTTCAAAGCTACTCTGGCTCCGCCCCTAGAACGGAATTACAATTGAAACATGGTATCAAACTACAACATTCCAATTTATGTTCTGATCTATTGGGTTGCATGGTGCAGATACACGGCAAGATTGGGTGCTGAGCACAGGATAACCTACAATGAGACTCATTGCGATAACTAGCGAGAGAGTGAGTTGTGTAAGAAAGCCTAAGGAAAAAGGAAGACAGCTGCTTAAGCGGCACTCAGCACCACAACTACTGCAGCACACTTTAGAAATCATGGTGCTAGCAGGAGCAATCTTATTCTGTGTCAATGGTTCTGGGATGCCATGCCTGCAAAGCACTATGACGAAAAGGGCTGGTCTGATGTGCAGCAATGAGTGCTGCCTGCTCCACTATCAGCCGAAACAAAGCACTGGTCAGCCAAGAACATGAACTTGTTTTGCAATAGCCTGTGAGATGTGCATAACTGATAATGATATGTAAATAAAAAGGTTTATTCCACAAGTATAGGGACTGCACACCAGTGCAATCTTAGATCAGAGGTGTCCAGCCTCTTCAATTGTATCCAGAGTATGAAGGATCCAAACACTCCAAGAAGGGTTAAATGCAGACTTTAATTAGAACACACGAGATAACGTTAAAGCCTCATTTGTCAAATTTATCTAATGTGATCATTCCAATTAAATTCTGCTTTTAAATTCTACTCTTAGTGCTCGGCTACCCTCTCTCTTTCGTGACTAAAAATGTTGACATTTGTGTAACCCAAAGATTTCATATTTAGGACTTGTTGAAAGGTGTATTCGGAAAACAGGCAGAAAGTAAACACATGCAGCAGTAGTATACCAAGTCTTCAAAAATCAGCCACTAAATTAATAGCTTCCTCAAGCACACTTACCTCCTGTGATCTATGCACTGGACCACTCGGCCAAATGTGCCTTCACCCAATGTGTTCACAATCTCATCTGTGAGGGGAAGCAGAGGACGAAATTAAAGAGAGAGACCTGAGACTGCTGGCGGCTGCAGATACATTCGCCAGGGCTGTGACATCGTCAATCCCTAAAACAGGATCGCTTTATACTTAATCCCTCACCTCCAGCTAGCAATACAAAAAAAAACTATGTACATGGCAGCTTATAGAAGAATTAACAGGAGGAAGAGGAGAATGAAAGGGTACTTGTTTGTTTCTCTTTGGTTTAAAATTATATGTTAAAAAAATAAAACAAATAAAAATAAAGACAGACAGGTCTGCAGCGTCTCTGGGGAGGGGGGTCTTACAACTAGAGAGCTAAATTATGTTACGATTTGGCTGTACATCTTTCTTGTATCCAGTCGCCGGTGCGATAGATCAGGTGACCCTCTACGTCGTCTTCCACACTCTTTGCGCGCCTGCTGCTCTGGCGACTTCGCTGTTGGTACGGGGCCCGTCATTCCCGCCAAAACATCACCATTCACCAGCCAATCAGATTTTCAAACCAGCGTCACATTGGTTGGTTGGTTTGGAAATTCACATTGATGTTGTTTGAGGTAGGAGGGGTGCAGTAGATTCCCAGCCAATTCATACGGCACATAGGAATATATAACGATAGGGATATTGCAAGGGAACAGGTCAAGATACAAATACACTAACTCAGAAATAAAAAGTAAAGAAAAAAAAAAGAAAAAAAAAGAAACAATTCTGCTTTGTATTTTTGTTTTCATCTTTGTTATAGAAGGAAAAACAGGACAAAAAATATAAGAAATAAAACTTTAACAAAAATCAGAAGAAAAGTACAGTCTTCATATTATGAGAACAAGGCTTGAGAAACATTCACTGTGATCCCCCAAATTACCATCTTCAGTCTTGAGTACAGGAGTTAACAGCACAGACGGTTACCATTTGGTTAACACCCACATACAACGCAATATGACAGGATTGGAGAAATTGCATTGTTAGCGGACAGGGAAGAACTCCGGCCATTCTAATTGAGAGAGTTATTACAATTTTGGGAGCAATTTGTCCAGCCCTGCAGTACTGACATTGAGCCCACTCATAATTACCACTTCCAACATCATCTTCACCTCAGTCTCAAACCTAGAGCAGCAGCAATCATTAACACTGTTCATCACCCTCAACAGACAACACAAGCTATTACTTACAGAGTTTTAATGTGAGCATGAGAAACAACAACCCAAAAAGTGTATACTAGAGAAGAAGTCTGCAAAGTTAGCAAGCCTAAATAGAACACAGCTACTCACTAAAATATGCAGGATCTGGACACTATCTAAAGGTCTTTGGGCAATTTCTCTACTGCCCCAAACTACAGGAATAAACCTTGCAATTAGCTTAAAAGAAATTACCTATAAGTAGGGGGAGGGAGGTGCACCTCAGGGTTTAATATGCCATTGCCCCCTCAGTGGGAATTAGAGGGGGGAGACAAAATAAGAGCTGAAAAACTGAAGCCTGACCAAGACTGCAGTTTACTTTAACTGACCAGTTTGAAAGGGAACAAAATGCCAACTACCTTTTCTATGACTATACAGACTTTAACAATCACACCTAGTGAGGGAATGACTTAAATATAAATAGAAAATGACAAATGTAAAAGTTCCCCCTCAAGTAAACCCTAAAGTCTCTTCACACAAATGCACTGCATTCACATATTACCAAGTTAGCTCAATTAATTCACACAGCAGAGACAGAAACAAATGGGGAAGGAATATTTACTTACCAAATCTTCCAAAACCTTCAGAGGGAAAAAAGTAAAGGGAAGTGGGGAATAAATTAATGCCGGGTAGAGACTCACCGATGAGGACCGACTATAAGACCTGGTTCTGCGCTTCCTCCGTTTCTGTTTGCGCCTACTACTTTTACAGCTCCTGTAGCTGTCCTCACGGGAGCGTCGATAGTCATAAGAGTGGCGGTATTCTGTGTCATAATAAACATCTCCTTTATCCCTGCTGTATTCATTTCGCCGATGTGTGTCACAATAACGCCTGTCGTATGTTCGTCTGTCTGAGGATCTTTCGTCGTAACTGAGGAAGAAAAGCTAGACTGAGCACATACCATCATGAGGAGGAGGAGGAATTGCAGAGCCAGAAATATATACAGGGTGGCCCATAAGTCCCTACCCATCCATATATCTTATGTATCCAGTGTATCTGTGTGCTGGATGGGTATGGACTTCTAGGCCATCCTGTATAAACTGTGCAAACATGTCCTCTAAACGGTTATGTTCAAACTTGTTTCTCGGCAACATTTATAATACCGTATCATTTGAAACCCAAGAAGATGCACACTACATTTTACTGGTAATTTGTAATTTAGAAAGAAACAGAAAAAAATAATTTAAGGTGGTGGGGGGTGTAGTTTGTGAATTTGTGGGGTAGGATTGGATAGTGAACAGTTTAATAATTTTTTTCCAATTATTTTAAATGTAAGGTTAATCCCTCCTCCCTTTTTAGCACAAGCCATATAGGGGGACATATCTATTCACAGTGGTATTTAGCAGATCTAGCCTGTACCTCTGCTGGGTGCATACCAAGTACATCCAGCAATCGGTAGTATTGAAGTATTTCCATCTGCAATACTCTAAAAAGCAAGGCCTTGCAGGAGCGATACACTTGGCAGTGGTGCAGACTAGTGTCTCCCAAGCTGCCAAACAGAGATAGAAACTTTTACTGGGCTATACACAAATCGAATTGAGGATGCAAGCAGTTTTGTTACCCAAAGTTTTAGGGCACTACAGAATATGTTGAAAGTGTATAAATGCCTACAAAAATATACCACCAGTTTCAAGAACTAGCCTATGCAATATCCATTACTATTGGCCAGTCCATGACTCTGAGAACTAGTTCAGTTACATAAATATAAAAAAATATATATAATCTGACAGAAACCCATACTGGTTTATAAACCGTTTTACAGGCCAACCTTTTTTTCCTACAAATTATTAAAGCTGGCAGTCCTCTTTCTTCGATCAATGGTTATGGCTTAATCTTTCTTTATCACAGCACGTTTGTCAGCTTGCCACAACATTACCTGCGTGAACGCTCATGGTAACTGTCGCCATGTCGATGCCGCCGATTGCGGCCCCTGTCACTGCTGCTTGTACGCGACCTGCTTCTCCTCCTCCTATGTTTCCGGCTTCTATAACGCTCGCGGTAACTGCCCCGACTGCTTCGCTCTGAGGAACGGTACCGTCTAGAGTGCGGCATCTAGCAGCAAAAATAGGAGACGAGAAAAAATTATTAAAAAATATTCTTTTATTTAAAGTTATTTGCATTTGATTGAAATTGAGCAACACTAAAGAGACTTCATAGAATAATTCCATAAACACTTTTAAAAGAAAATGCAGAGATTTACTGCAGTTTAACTCTTTTCTTACTATCAATAAATAAATGTAAAAAATGCTCAAATAAAAATAACTAAACATCAAAATGTCACAATGCTATACAATGTTGAGTATTTACTGTTGATCCATGCAATAAACTTTATAATAAGTTGTCGTTAATGCAGTTATATATTGTCCAGTAATAAAAATAAAGTAGGAAGCGGTATTGCTTTTTATTTAACACTTTTACATCCCATTTAATATTCAGTTTGCAAATAAACACTGCACACACACGTCACAAGAATAGGCTTTGTTTAAACTGCTGTTTGTCACACGGTTAGTGAATATGATAGAACTGATGCATTTGAAGTCTGCACCATGCAATACAAAAAGGAAGCCCAATTTTAGTTTTATTAGATTTAACTACTGAATATAAACCCTCCCTCAGCCTCAGTTTGTCCACAGGGCTTTTCAATGAGAAACCTCTGATTTGACAATGTAAGGCACAGATATGTTTGAGCTGCACAAATAGTGGAGGACGTACAGCGACTGCAGGAACTATATAATTATAAATATAATTAGTGGGGTAAAAGCTGCCTGATCCAAAGAGACATCTGACTGCTATTTTGGGGTCAAGAAGGATTTTTTTTCCTAGTTTGTTGCAAAATTGGAAGCGCTTCAGACTAGGTTTTTTGCCTTCTTTTGGATCAACAGCAAAAGCATTTGAGAGGAAGGCTGAACTTGATGGACGCAAGTCTCTTTTCAGCTATGTAACTAGGCCTACAACTAATGTGAGCTACGTTTAATACATATCACCTTAAAAATAAGCTAAAGTATTAAATGGATACTTTTGATGGGTAGGTCTACTAAAAGCCCATCAAAATCAAGGGGGAGAGTTTAGATCCTAGCTTTAAATAAACATTTTTAAAAAGCATTCCAAGCAACATGAAGCCCAATGTAGTGGTTATAGTGCCAGGAGTCACCTTGCTCTGAACAATGGTAAGCTGTCAGTACTGTGACAAATTTACCTCAGTTCCCAAGGCACCTTAGCCACATCAGGTCTTCTCTTACAGGAGAAGCCAGATGTCACTGCAGGACCGAGGTTCACTTGCTGGAAGCGCTCATCTGGTGCGCTCAGCCAATGCGGGTGCTGCAACATGGCCATGCTTAGCCATAATGTCTTGCTAAAGAGAAGGCAGGGGCTGTGACACCATGAGAGCGGGGACACACTCTCTGACCCACATAGTGCTTCTTGCAGACAAATGACCAAATGTTACACATTTACTGCAATACATAAAGTGACCTTTAAGTGTAGCAACAATTATTTATTCCTTCATTGCCATATAAATGTATTCATATCCTGGAGATCTTTCTGTTGTCTAGAAAGATGCTACGTAAAGTCATAACAAAGGATTCTACCCTTATAATAAAACCCACTATTCTAAAATATATCATGGGTCCTATAACTGAGAAGATAGGCCTTCCATGTAGCTCCCTGGATGATCCTTGAAATTTAGATGGTGGGGGAGGGGGCAGCTTGAGGTAAAACTAAGAATTCTATTGGTGTAACTACTCTTAATGAGGTAAATACTGCATCATCTACTGAAGATGTCTGTCTGAAGAAATGAAAAGTTAAACAATAAAAGGGGACCAATCATTTCAACGATTGATTAGTGGCTTTTACACAAACAAGAACAATGCATTTTAGGCTCACAGTATTTCAAAAGGAACAATGGTTTACAAGTGGAATGCACAGAATGAAATAGCACGGATCTTGTTAACAGCATGGCATGGCTCAGTTAGAATGTTAATCCAACAAAACGTGCACTACATCTCCTATATTCTGTCTTTGGACCCCAACTACCATTTCATAATCGTGTGTGGGCCTTACTTTATATTCCCACCCTCTCTTACTGTGATCATTGTCTAACTAACCATATGTAACAAGATACCTTAAACAGGCAGGGGTGACAAAATCAGAGCCCCAGCTACCGGGGGAAAATTAAACCAATGCTTTGAAAGTATGAATGCTGGCAAAGCATGATGCAAGTTGGAGTTATACCTCAGTTTGTGGTCTGACTTCCCACCTTACCTTAAATGATCAATACACCCGCCATCACCACTTCTGCCACTACTCGCACATTATTTAACAGTGCCAGTACATACAGCATCACCACTAGCACCCCTTTTAACAGTGCTAGTACGCTCACATTACCCTAACTTACCAATGCTTCCACATTCACTTACAGTACCAGTACACTTGGTGTAACTTTACTAACATTCCCATTTGCCCTGATACCACCAATACACCCGTCACTCTTACAATACCTCTACCCCCACACTACCAGTACCAATACCTCTACCCCCAGCACCCTTACTACCAGTACCAATACCTCTACCCCCAGCACCCTTACTACCAGTACCAATACCTCTACACCCAGCACCCTTACTACCAGTACCAATACCTCTACACCCAGCACCCTTACTACCAGTACCAATACCTCTACCCCCACCACCCTTACTACCAGTACCAATACTCCCAGCACCCTTACTGCCAATACCAATACTCCCAGCACCCTTACTGCCAATACCAATACTCCCAGCACCCTTACACTACCGGTAACTCTACCCCCACCACCCTTAATGCTAGTACCAATACTCCCGGCACATTACCAGTGCCCCTAACCACACACTTAATACTCCCAACCTCCCATACTAGCAGTACTAGTACCATTACTCCCACACCCTTCCTACCAGTACCCCTGCCACACACAGAGTATTAATACCCCCAGCCTGCCATACTAGCAGTACCAATACTAATACTCCCACAGCTGAACTACCAGTGTCCCTGCCTACACACACAGTTTTAATACTCCCAGCCTGCCATACTAGCAGTACCAATACTCCCACAGTTGTACAACCAGGGCCTCTATACAAACACACAGTATTAATACTGCCAGCCTGCCATACCAGCAGTACCAATACCAATACTCACAGCTGTACTACCAGTGCCCCCACACACAAACAGTATTAGTACTCCCAACCTGCCATACCAGCAGTACCAATACCCCTACACACCGTATTAATACTCCCAGCCTGCCATACCAGCAGTACCAATACTCCCACAGCTGTACTGCAAGTGCCCCACACACACAGTATTAATACTTCCACAGCTGTACTGCCAGTGCCCCTACACACAGTATTAATACTCCCAGCCTGACATACCAGCAGTACCAATACTCACACAGCTTTACTACCAGTGTCCCTACACATACACACTATTAATACTACCACAGCTTTACTACCAGTGCCCCTACACACACAATATTAATACTCCTAGCCTGCCATACTAGCAGTACCAATACTCCCACAGCTGTACTACCAGTGCCCCTACACACACACACAGTATTAATACTCCCACAGCTGTACTACCAGTGCCCCTACACACACACAGTAATAATACTCCCAGCCTGCCATACCAGCAGTACCAATACTAATACTCCTACAGCTGTACTACCAGTGTCCCTACACACACAGTATTAACACTCCCAGCCTGCCATACCAGCAGCACCAATACTAATACTACCAGTGTCCCCACACACCCACAGTATTAATACTCCCACAGCTGTACTACCAGCGTCCCCCCCCACACACAGTATTAATACTCCCACAGCTGTACTACCAGTGTCCCCACACACACAGTATTAATACTCCCACAGCTGTACTACCAGTGTCCCTACACACACAGTACTAATACTCCCACAGCTGTACTACCAGTGACCCTACACACACAGTACTAATACTCCCAGTGTCCCCACACACCCACAGTATTAATACTCCCACAGCTGTACTACCAGCGTCCCACCCCACACACACAGTATTAATACTCCCACAGCTGTACTACCAGTGTCCCTACACACACAGTACTAATACTCCCACAGCTGTACTACCAGTGACCCTACACACACAGTACTAATACTCCCAGTGTCCCCACACACCCACAGTATTAATACTCCCACAGCTGTACTACCAGCGTCCCACCCCACACACACAGTATTAATACTCCCACAGCTGTACTACCAGTGTCCCTACACACACAGTACTAATACTCCCACAGCTGTACTACCAGTGACCCTACACACACAGTACTAATACTCCCAGTGTCCCCACACACCCACAGTATTAATACTCCCACAGCTGTACTACCAGCGTCCCACCCCACACACACAGTATTAATACTCCCACAGCTGTACTGCCAGTGTCCCCACACACACACAGTACTAATACTCCCACAGCTGTACTACCAGTGTCCCCCACACAGGATTAATAGTCCCACAGCTGTACTACCAGTGCCCCTACACAGGATTAATAGTCCCACAGCTGTATTACCAGTGTCCCTACACACACACACACACAGTATTAATACTCCTACAGCTGTACTACCAGTGCCCTCCCTCCCCACACAGTATTAATACTCCCACAGCTGTACTACCAGTGCCCCTACACACACAGTATTAATACTCCCACAGCTGTACTACCAGTGTCCCTACACACAGTATTAATACTCCCACAGCTGTACTACCAGTGTCCCTACACACAGTATTAATACTCCCACAGCTGTACTACCAGTGTCCCTACACACAGAATTAATACTCCCACAGCTGAACTACCAGTGCCCCTACACACAGTATTAATACTCCCAC